GGGGGGGGGGGGCGGGCAGGGGTTGCAGATGGACCCGCCTTTTGTGAAGACCCCCTATTCTGCCAATGCTTGGAGCCCTTGGCCCCATCCTGGGACAGAGGGTGTAGAGGTGCCTGGACCCTGGCAGAGGTTCAGCCCTGAGGCTCCAGCTCCAGATTCAGAGGCTGCCTCTCCCACGGTAGCTCCCAACCAGCAAATAATGCAGCGGCTTGGGCCAGGCCCCTGGAGGGCCCAGTGAGAGGAAAAAGTGGTCTGCAGGGCATAAAGGAACAGGGACAGAGGAGAGAAGGGACAGACATAGACCTGGGGAGGCTATGTAAATCCCAGGGCGCTTAGACACCCTGCTTGCCTGAGTCCTGTAGCCAGAGCAGACCCCGAAGGGTGGGTATCTAGCATTTCCCCTAAGCGGACCTGGTGGCGACAAATTATCCTGACAGTGATCAGCAGTTCGGTCCGGTTTTGACAGAGGCCCAGGCATCTCAGATCCTTTGCCGACGTGCTGCAGGCCTGACCTTCCACTATTACTTTACCACGGGTTAAGGGGGCATTCTCTTCTTAACACGTGTCTTCCGCCGGGCACCAATCTTCATGGCCCTTGAAATAATAATCCCGCTAGTCCACAACACGTAGGAGAAAGCGTTAGAGCTCCATGGAAATTCACGATGCACGGCAGCATATTCAAACTCTGAGATGTCCTGCAGCAAAGGAAACTATTGAATTTGGCTTAACCAGCATTTTCCAAAACTTTTGTGACTTTCCTTTTCCTCCTGCCTCAATGATACCTCAAGGGCCCAGCGTTTGGAGGGAGCGCGTTGGGGAACCCCTCTCCAGAAGGCTCTGGCTGTGAGGGAGTGCTCCTAGCTTTCCCCACAGCTCCCCACCTCATTCAGATGCTTTGTTTCACAGGTTGTCCTGTGAGGTCCTGAGTGACCAGAGCCTGGAGACCCTGCTGAACCACTTGCCCCGGATCCCCCAGCTAAGCCTGCTGCAGTAAGACTGGTTTCCCCGTTGCCCTGGCCTGGCCTGAGGGCCTGGGTTCCAAAGCCATCCCCCTCCTTGCCTGCCGCTCCTTCTCTTGGGCTCTTTCATTTTATCTGCCACAACCGGAAGCTCGTCACTAACACCCTGCTAACCTTGGTGGGGCGGGGGAGTTATTTGACCACTCTGGGCCTGCCGTTCCTCATCTGACAAATGGGACTAATATTCCCCGACCCCGCCTGCAGGGTCGGGACTCAAACAAGACGCCTTCTTCTACAGGCGCCTTGAAGAGCGGAAAGTCTGTGACAAATGGGCTCTTGTATGTCTCGCCCACAAAAAGGTCACCAACTCCTAGGAAGGGACTTCACAGATGTGGGTTGTATATATGTCACCCACCCATGTTTAAAGGTCACCATCTAACTCCGTAAAAGGGTAACTTAAGCAGCATTCTCGAAAGTATTTAAAACTCCACTTTCTAATTTTGGCTCAGACTGGTTAGAATTTAAAAAGGATTTACTTTAAATACTCTTCTAGCAGGGGGGAAGGCAGCTGCAGCTGAGATGGAAAAATACAACAGGAAATTAAATCATACCATTAATAACAGCAACATAAGTACTAACGCCAAGGCTCTCTGGGATGCCTGAGACGGCTCGCTTCACATCCAGGATCTTGCTTATCCCTGAGTCCTGTAGGGACGGGAAGGAGGAGACGTGTGACATTCCAGAGGCGGCTCAACCCACGGCACCCACAATGGGAAGGGCTCCTTTGGACACAAAAAGTGGCAGGCTGACATGAACAGGTGGGAGACTCCGGACCAGAGAGAGACCTCTCCATGCCCAAGTCACACAGCATCGGCCCCAGCTCTCATCCGTCTTTGGAATGAGGTGGCCAGCCTGTCCCTCACCAGGGCTCACGCTTTGTATTACTCAATCCATAGTGGGCCAGGCACTGTTTGGAGGGCTGGAGACACAGCAAAGAGGGGGAAAGAAAGGCTAGGTGCTTGTCTTCTTGGAGCTTGCTTACCTTGTAGTAGAGGGAACTGGACAATAAGCAAGTAAAAACATTTAACACAAATTCAGACAGTGATGAGGTATTTTTCTAGGTAACGTGGTCAAGAGTGTCTGCAACGGTGAGGGTGGTCAGGGCATACCTCTAAGAAGGGATGCTAAAGTTAGGCCTGAAGGACAAAAGGGACTATTCGGGCTTGTGAAGAGAAGGGAACAGCATTCCAAGTAGAGGGAAGAGCACATGTGAGACCCTGAGGCAAGATTAAGCTTGGTGGGCTCAAGGATCAGCCAGAAGGGCAATGCGGCCAGCACCCTGGGGCAGGCAGGGAGAGTTGCCAGACGGGAGGTAGAGAGAGGGACCTGGACCGGTCAACACAGGGCCTGGGAACCATGGGGAGGAGCTTGGGGGTTTGTGTCCAAGGGGGCTCGAAAGGCAGAGGAATGATGTGTGTTTTCAAAAGTTCAGTCTGGCTGCTGGGTTGAGAAGGGGTTAGAGGACAAGAGTGGAAGTGAGAGCAGGGAAGAGGCTGTACAGGGTCGGAGATGGTGCGGGCTGGGGATTGGGGGCCAGGGCAGAAGTAGGCAGATCCAGGGTAGAACTTGAGAATGGAACAGACGCGACAAGCTGATAGAGAGTTTGTGGGGCAAGGGAAATGGAAGCACCAAGGATGCCTCTGAGGGCAAGATGGAGCCATCTCACTTTCTGGAAGGCAGGGGTTCACAGCCAGGGGTGATTTTGCCCATCAGGAATATATGGCAACGGAGATATTTCCGTTGGTCATGGCAGAGGGAGGCGGGCGGTGAGAGGGGGAGCTACGAATGGTGTTTAGCGAATAGAGGTCTGGGATGCTGCTAAACACCCCACGGGACAGCCCCCAACACCAACAAATTATCTAGCCCCAAATCACTGAGAAACGACTCGAAGGGCCTAGCGCCTCCCACTCCCTGTCAGCAGGACTGGCCTGTTTGGTCCATGCTTGAGGGAAGAAACAATATAATAAGAAAACAAGCCTGGGTGTCGTGCCAGGCAGTGCACAAGCTTGATAGGATGAGGCCCTCACGACACCCTAGAAGACGGTCTATGAGTAGTCCTTTTTTCTAGGGAAGGAAGCTGATGCTTAGAGAGGTTAAGTGATGCGTCCAAGGACACACAGACGATAAGCAGAACTGGGGCTCAAACCCAAGTCTCCTTGACTCTAAGCTCCTATTTGTCCCTCTTGAGGCCCTGCCTTCTTCCTTATCACCTTGCTGGCCCGCCAGCCCTCCCCATCCTTTTTTTCTCTTTCCCCTCCAGCCCATTCCTTGTTCCGGAGGAACAAGGAGGTTCCTTGTCCGCTCTTGCTTGGTTCCTACTTGCTCACATATGGTCCCACTCCTTTCATTCCCAGGCTGAGTGAGACAAGGCTGTCCCCAAGGAGCCCCCTCCTGCTGGCCGACCTCTTCAGCCTGTGCCCGCAGGTTCAGAAGGTGGATCTCAGGTGGGCATTGCCCTAGGACAACTGGGTCTCGTCTTGGAGGGTTGTGCCTAGGGTCTGGTAGGTGTGTGGGGGTTGGATGGAGACAGTAAAAGCCAAGTCAGAGGCTTGGCTTCTGAAGGAAGCCTGCCCCAGGAGGCCCCCTGAGGCTGTAGCCAAGGGTGGCTGACTCAGGTGCTGTCCGTTCCAGGTCCCTGTATCACACAACCCTGCACTTCAGGTCTAGCGAGGAGCAGAAAGGCGAGTACTGTGGGTAAGTCCCTGGGATTGTGCCCTGGCAGTCGGTAGGTATTGGGGACAAGAAGACCTGCCTCCTGGATGCCCAGAACTGGATACAGATTGCCAGCTGTAGAGCATCCCCTTGAAAGGCCCCTGCAAGGAGGATTGTTTCCTCTGACATAGAGAAGCAGAGGGCCAGAGAGGACCAAGCTTTATCAAAGGCAAATAAGGAATACCTGTCAGACTACACCAGAGCTCAGGGGCCTGGTCCAAGGAAAAGTACTTCCTAACCTGCCCACCAGGCTTTAAATCGCAGCTCCACAGGGCCTGGTGCCATGGGCAAGCTCCTTAACCTCTGTGATGCCCAGCTTCCGCAGCTGCAAAGGAACTGCCAGGATGTTTGCAAGGATTAACTGAGACAGTGTGTAAAGCGTGAAGCACTTACAGATGCGAGTGTCCTTCCCCTGCTGACTCCTGGACCAGTGCTCTGTGGTTGCCTGGGTAAGAGGGAGGAGGTGCTGCACCGGAGGCAGGATGATGAGGCAAGAGGACAGCCTTCAAGTGCAGAAATCATGTTTCCGGTAGCTGATGCCACTGGCTCACCGAGAGATCTTGGACCGGACCCTTCTCCTGTGGGCCCCAGCCTCCCCACTCGTGAAGTGACAATAAATAGAAGAATCAAGATACGTTGAATATCTGCAGGGTGCCATTCTATAGCCTTTTGCACATTACTGCCCTGTAAGCCTCACAGCTGTGGTCAGTTGGCAGTAGGGGGCAGTCGGGATTCGAACCTGAGAAGGTCTGCAGTGCTCCTAGCCCAGCGATGGACAGATTTTTCCTGTAAAAAGTTAAGATTGTAAAGACTTTGGGTTTCTGCAGGCCACACAATCTCTGCGACAGCTACTTGACCCTGCCTTTGTAGCTTGAAAGCAGCGGAGACAATATGTAAACCAGGGCACATGCCTGCGTGCCAGAAAACTCCTCTATCGTTTACAGACCCTGAGACTTGCATCTCGTGTATTTTGTGTCAGGAAATATTCTTCTTTTGGTTTTTTTACTCAACGATTTGCAAACGGAAACATTATTGTTAGCTTGCAAGACGCAGGTGGCCTTGGGTCGCAGTTTTCCACGTCCTGATCTAGCCCAACACGACCCTGACTTCTAGAATGCCTTGATAGCTTCTAAGTCAGCGGTTTCCAAAATGTAGAACAGAGACAGGATGGGATGGTTTTCTAGGGGGCGGGGCAGCTAGCAGAGTAGTTCATCATCACTGAGCCCCTCAATGAGGTCACTATTCCCTTTTTGACTCTCGATGTGATTAAGGCCAAGAGGAAATCGAGCTTGGGTGGTGGCCTGACTCTAATGCTTGCTGAGCCCCCTTTTTAATAAGAAGAGAGAGAGAGAGAGCCCTCGTCCAGGAAATTCTGGCTCAAATTTAATGATGCTATTTTGCTCTCATTTTATGTATTCTTGTGCTTATGGTCTGTTTATGGCACCACGTGTAATGTTTCCATTTGAGTGAATGATAACAGGGTTTCCTTTTATAATAAATGCATCTAGTCAAAAGAATGAGCTGATTTAAAAATCAGAAGTGAATAATACTATAATAAGGAATTTAGGAACAGGGAAAAGATCATGAAGGGCAGGACCAGTGATAAAAATTTGAGATATTGATTTTAGGTACTTTCTCGTTTTAAGATGCTTCCTCCTTTTCTTTTCTTTT